TCTTTCCATTCCAAATCACTTCCCAGATGAAACACTGCAAATAACAGTGAAAATAAGAACCTTGAGTTCACTCTCTTGTGTGTGCTGTGACAGTCATTCTGGATACAATAGATCCATCGATCCCCCATGAACCTCATGAAGGTAGACACTGTTGTGACTGCTGTTTAAAGATGGACAAACTGAGGCTCAGAGACACGGAGTGACTCACCCAAATCTACCTCATTGGTAACTATGACTGAGGAGATATAGACCCAATTCTCTGTGATTCCAAAGCCCACCTATAATATGGCATGTATTTTTATGTATATTCTAAATTATCTTCTTTTACAAAAATGAGATCATGCAATCCACACTTTTTTCAAGTTGCCTTTTCGTTTGCTCTTCCCACATGGATTTTCTTCACTCTTTGACTGGCTGCCTGGGATTATGTTACCACAGGCACCAACATTTATTTAGTTAGTTCCCTATAGGTGAATATTTAGGTTGTTTGGGCTTTTTTGCTATTATAGCAATGTCACAATAAGCATGTCCTGCCATTTTCCCCATTCATTTAAAATTATTTTTAATGACACAAGTTCTGCATGTACACATTCTTGTGCTTTTCTATTCAAGAATTCAGATAAAGGAAAACTGCCTCTTTGTTCTACCCACCTCCACGATCACCTCCAATTTTCGATCTCCTCCCCACAGGGCACTATCAGTGTGCTATGTAATCCTTACAGACCCTTTTAATATGCTTTTCTGTACATATGTGTGCCTAGTTAAAAGCACAAGAGGTATCATACCATATGAGGGTACTTCAACAAGTGCGTGGAAAAACAGAATTGAAAAATAATATACATGTATTATTTTGTATCTGGATGTTTATGGTTTAAAACACTGACGTCTTTCAGTATATACAGAGCGGCCTCATTCTTTTTCACAAGACACATGTCATGTTCAACTGCTTGGATCTCTCTCCCTCCCTGCCTCATTCCTTTTCTTCCTTCCATCATCGCTCCCCTACTAATGGATATTTAGGTTGTTTCCATTTTTTTCTCTATAAAAACTACTGCAATCAGCATTCCTGTGCATGCCTCTCTGCGTGCACATGGGAGTTATTCTACTGCATCGATACCTGGAAGTGAAATTGCTGAGTTGAAGGGTTTGCCAGGCTGGGTCTTGTCTGTGGCTGCAGGAGGCTGGGCTGCAGGTTCCAGGTGGCTGTTGCACAAACACCCACCATGAGGCAAGATGGGAGGGGGTATTCCCTTTATCCAAGAGTTTGCTGTCTGTGGCCATGTTTTTGGACAGCTCCTGGTGACAGAACTCCCGGCCATGCAGCCATATATGGTAGGAATGATCAGAAAAGCCCCGTGGGTAACCTGCTGGCCCCACTCCACTCACCTTTTGGTCCCTCCCTCTTCCCCCTTATACTGACTGCCGATGACCGATCCAGACCACCAGTGAGCCCTAGCAAAGGTCGGGGCAGATGAGCCACAAATTGTTCAACAAGCGGCTGTTTCTGGAACCTCCTCTACGCCAGGGTGGATGTGGTCAGACAGGGCCTGTCCTCCAGGAGTCCCAGCCCAGTGGGGGAGACACACTTGCACCAGCTGGTCATAGCTGTGACAGTGGTAAGTGCAGGATGCTACTGGGACACATAAGAGAAGCTTCTGGCAGAGCCTAAGGGTGGTCCTGGAAGGTTCCTGGTGGAGATGAGAGCTGGGCTGAGTTTTGAGGGATGAGCAGGAATTAACAAAGTGGAACAGACATTGAGAGCATGAACATGTGGTGTTGGTGTGTAAAATGTCTACTTTTTTTTAATCCCCCCTCCCCTTTTCTAGTAATAGCACCATCTTTCCCTTTATGAGAACTTCCCAAAGGCACCATATAATTCTGGAAACTCTCGATTCCTTAACATCACCTCACCCCACCCAGCCAAGGGATGAGCATGTGATGATCTGATTGGCTTGGCCCATCACAGTATTTCACTCTGGACCACAGGGACTGGTTCAGAGAGAGGCCAACCAGAACCTTCCATGGGACTCGCTACTGGAGCAAGTGGGAGAAACTCTTGGCTTTGGGATCATGGAGCTGGAAGCCGCTGCTTGGGGCCATCTGCCCTGTCATCATAGGGTAGGGTCAGGGAAACTGAGGCCACTCTGCAGCATGAGGCAGAGACAAGCAGAGATGAAGGATGAAAGAATCCTCGGGGGCACTGACAATTCAATTCCTGCAGCTCTTTCTTCTGTTTTGAGGGTTCCCCCTTCTCTTCCTAGCCCTGGGGGCATGTCAGAGAACTTCACTCTCACAGAGAATGGCAAGGAGTGACCCTGCTGCCACTCCATAGATGCCAAAGGCAGGCTTGGTGTGGTAGATCAGAGCGAGGCACACACAGCAAACACAGGACCATTAGCATGGTTGCACTGATTCCTCCGCCCCAAGTCCCACAGGGCAAAGTGACGGGCCCAGGGGGATGCTGCACATGCAAGGGGGGTGGAGAGCTGAGGAATCCAGGGCTAAGGGTCCAGTACTTTTTGAGTAAGCAGCAAACATTATAACAGGCACTAAACAAGCTAGTTCCCTTTCTGCAAGGAATGGGAAGTTGCTGTTGAGAAGTACCACGGTCCCTCCTCAGCGTGCAGATGGAGACCCATGTTGTGAGCCCATTGGGTTATGGTGGCAGGATTGCTGTGCCCAATCCAGTGATGGGTCCTGGTAGTGATGCTGGCCACCTGGCCTACGCAGGACAGACCAGCCACATTGTCCCATTCAGTCTCAGGTGAGTACAGAGCCACATGGGTTGGTACATGTCCCGTTGTGCTGTGGCAAATATACCAGTCAATAATCACCCATATACATGACAAGATACCTGGGCTATTAGCCACAGCCCAAGAGTTGGTGAAAACATAACATGTCTGGTCCTTAGGAGTATTATCCAAAACGAGGGTGATGGGAATCACCCATATACATGACAAGATACCTGGGCTATTAGCCACAGCCCAGGAGTTGGTGAAAACATAACATGTCTGGTCCTTAGGAGTATTATCCAAAACGAGGGTGATGGGTTTCAGTTCAGCTAATTGTGCTCACCCACCCCTACCATAGCTGGGCTTCTGGAACTGATGTTCAGGTTGGACAGCTGCCCAGTGGCCACCGTCAGCTGAAAGTTTGTCTGAGCTCAGTAAACCTAGCCCAGGCACCCTAAGGGACTTCCTGGAATCAGGACCCAGTATCTCCAGGTAGCCAAAGAGTGCCCCTGTGGGAGGTTGAGGGGGGCAGGTGGTACAAGGGCCCCTGGAGGTGTGGGTATAGTCTTTTTGTATTAGGGGGACACACCTGTGGGACCAGACGTGCTTCCTTCTTGAACATTCTGTTTCCATTCAGTAAGAGAATACTGTTGTGCCTTTCCAATGCTGCAGCCAGCATCTGAGTGGGCCCAGCCTGAGATGGGAATATCTGGTGTAATGCTAGCTGGAGGGCCTGCGGGAGGTGTTTGGTCTCCACAGCGCCCCCTAGCCGGCCAGTGGCTGTGTCTACAATGGAGTGCAGTGGGGTAGCCTGCTCAGGGAGGCAGGGCCTCCGCAACCCCACGCAGCGCCTGCTGGCGGAGACTACTTCCCTTGAGCAGAAGCCAATGGCAGGAGCTACCTGGAGTTAACAAGAGTCCTGTGGTTTGCAGGTCCCAAGGGTCGGGCTGCTGAGACATCCCGTCATGCTGCCTCTAGCACCACCTGCCGATCATGTCCTCAGGTACTTGTCACAGATTTTCTGGCCAACGTATACATAAGGCTCAACAAAATACCTGGATGAGGCCCATATTGTCTCTAATACCCGAACAGTCCAATGAAGTGCTGGGTTTCCTTTTCGTTAGCAGGGGTGGGGGTGGTGGGCTACCTGAGAAACTTCTTTCCAGTCTCAGGGATCAATCTTTGAGCCGCAGCCCACCTTGCTCCCAGATTTTGGCTTGCATTGCTGATCCCTGTAATCAAGTCTAACCCCTCTTTGTAGGTAAGAAACCCGAGGTTCAAAGAGATCAGTAACTTGCTCAGGGTCACACATCAAGTGAGTGAGAGGACCAGGATTGGCCCAGGTGCATGAAATGCCACAGTCCAGGCATTTCCCTTGTCCTGCATGGCTGTGGGTCTTTTGCCACTACAGGATTCTTCCAGTCTCAGGACCATCGTGTGCCTAATTTTGCTCCATCTCTGGCCTGATCCCCATGACTGTGGCTGGGACTGCAGTGTGGGTGGCTGCTGAGCCCTGGCTCTGTGCTGGCACTTCCCACAGCTGCTGTTTATCCACTAACACAGTCTGGGAAGGCCCGGGAGGCAGGTTCTGAGCCATGTGGGCCCAGCTGGCATCTCTGGAACTCAGTTGCTCACCTGGGCCCCTGGGATGCAGGAGTGCCTGTCCACACTTCTCTTCCTGAGCCCTTCTCTCTGCCCCCAGCCCTGCCCCAGGCCCGCCCCTATCAGCACTCACCTGGACCATTGCAACAGCCTCCTGGCACCACCAGTGTTTCCTGGACTCCCTTTTCCTCTTCAGTCATGTGGATTGGCTATGATGACCTATTCACAGCTCCAGGGTAGGCTTTGATGGCCTAAGCTGGATAGCCGTTGGCCACAGTGACAGGCTTGGTTGGGCACATAAATGAATCAGAACCAAAGGAATGTGGAGAGGTTTGCTCTGACTTCAGGGAGATAATTCTTTTTTCCATTCAGCTATGAAAAGAGACTCTCTCTTCCTCCCTAAATGGTGTGGTTTGGGGAGGTGAGACTTGGAGAATGTGGGTCATCGGAGGTAAGGGTGGGGTGGAATGGGGAGGTGGGGGTAGGAGGGGAAGGGGAGAGGGCGGGTTGCTACCCTGGGAGCCTGAGGATTACACTGGTCTCACAGAAGGCAGAGTAGGGAGGTGGGGAGAGCCTGTCTCTCTGTTGACATCATTTACTCCACTGGGTCAAGCCACACCTGAAACTGATCATATGAGTCTGGGTCTCCCTAGGAAACAAAATCAGGCAATTTGAGGAGAGTTTAATAAATGAACAATTTACAAAGGTGAGATCAGGATGAAGAGACAGCACAGGGATGGTTCAGCCCACCAGAGCAGGTAACAGAGTTACTGCTTCTGGCCTGAGGCTCAGGGCTGTGTGGAGAGGGCTGGCCTATAGGAGCTGTGAACTCGGTCACAGCCTGGTGGCCCCGCACAGGCAGAGAGGCAACAAGTACCCTGGTCCAAGTCTCCTCCCTCCCTCCCATGTCCCTTTGGTGCTCCCCATCGTTGAGCCGTGAGGAAGCAAGAGGGACTGTAGGTGTAATCCACGTGGGTCATCCTTCTGGGGTACAGAGCAGGGGCAGCAGATCTGGACAGACAAGTGGAAGACATTCAGTGCTTGGCTCTGGACCTCAGGGTCACAAAAGCCAATACTCGTATGTAACCCTGACAGGTTGAGCTGGGGTGAGTGGGCCTTTTACTTGCCAGGTGGAGGACTAACTGATTCGCACACCTGGCAGGGTCCCACCTCTGTGCCTTTGCTTGTGCTTGGCTCTCAGCCTGGAATGCCTTCCCTTGTGATGGAGTTTGGATGTGTTGTCCCCTCCAAAACCATGTGGAAATCCAATCCCCAATGTAGCAGTGCTGGAAGCTGTTTGAGTCATGGGGGCAGATCCCTCATGAATGGATTAATGCTCTCCCTGGGAGAGGGGGACCTGAGTGAGATCTCTTCTATTAGTTCCCGTGAGAGCTGGTTGTTTAATAGACCCTGGCACCCCCCCTCTCTTGCTCTTTTGCTTCCTTTTGCCCTGTGATCTGCTCGTACTGCCAGCTGCCTGCCACTTTCCTCCCTGAGTAGAAGCAGCCTGAGGCCCACGCCAGTTGCAGTCATCCCAGAATGGTAAGCCAAATAAACCTCTATTCTTTATAAGTTACCCAGTCTCAGGTATTCTGTTATAGCAACACAAAACGGACTAATACACCTTGCCTGTGGAAGTCTCCTCTCCCTGCTTCCCTGCCACCCTGTCACACCTCCCCTTAAAGTCCTGACCCAGAAGCTGAAGAGAGGAAGGCAGCAGAGCACAGTTCAAAAATGTAGGGCAAACCTGAGCTCAACTCCTGGCTTCACTGCTTAACTTGTGAATCCTGGGGCAAGTTAGCTACCTCTCTGAGCCTCGGTTTCCCTCTTCATCACCTGATCATCTGCCAGATCCCACCTCCCCATGTGACCTCAGCCCAGCATTTAGCCATGTGTGTTGGGAACAGCCCTGACCTACCTTGGCCTCTGCCTCAGTTTCCTCATCTGTAAACCAAGGGGTTTATATTCAGTGGTTTCCAAGGCCCGCTGCTCCCTGCCCCATGCCTCTCTGGTTTTTCTTTGATGCTCTGACTCTCAATTGCTCAGCTCAACAAACAAACCCAGTGGCTTTATCTCACCCTGAGGAGGGGAGGCTACTATGGGAACAGCTTGGCAGCATTGAAAAGCCTGGCACATACACTGTTTGTGTTTAATTACTTTGGCAACTGTTTACTGCCTCCTCGATTTCCTGAGCAAACAGTTCCATTATTTGGAGTAATTCACTGGCACTAGCTTTGGTTGTGAGGAGTAGAAGGTTTGAGATGTGCCCTACCTCAGCCCCTCACTCCGGACGTGCTTACACAGCCAGGCCTTCTGAGAGGAGCTGAGAGACACCAGGGACAGAATGCCAGCCTTCCCTGGTGTCTGGGAGCCCTGGGGTCGCACAGACCCTCCAACCTCTGCTGGGTCTCCTGAATTTGCCACCTGAGACCCTGCTGCCTAGTGGTTACAGCAGACTCCAGAGCACAGTGGACCTGGGTGTAGGTCCCAGCCCCAATGCTTTATCACTATGTGACCTCCTCCAAGTTCCTCTCCTCTGTGAGCCTCAGTTTCCTCACCTGTGTGATGGGGATTACAACTTTCCCAGCTCCCCTCCCTCCTCAAGGCACTTGCCTCCATCCCTTTCCACATGATGATAGTGGGGGCTCCCTCGTTCCCTCTCCTGGCCACTATTATTTAGTCTAAATTTGGTACCTCACTAAAGCTGGGCTGATCCTGGTCCCCCAGCTTACAGACACTCAACAGTTAGGTAAGACTGACATGAACCCCAATCCACATGGGGTTGGTGGTAGATTCCTGCTATGGTCTGAATGTTTGTGTCCCCCTGCCCCCACCCCAAATCCATATGTTGAAATCTAATCTCCAATGCAATACTGTTAAGAGGTGGTATCTTTGGGAGGTGACTAGGTCATGAGGGCTCCACCCTTATGAATAAGATTAGTGCCGTTATCATTATTATTAGTGCCTTATTATTATTAGTGACTTAAGAGCCCTCAGGGAGCCTGTTTGCTCCTTCCACCTTGTGAAGACACATAAAAGGCACCATCTATGAGGAATGTGCCTTCACCAGACACCAAACCTGCTGGCACCTTGATCTTGAACTTCTCAGCCTCCAGAACTGTGAGCAATAGACTTCTGTTGTTTGTAAATTACCCAGTCTGGGGTATTTTGTTACAGCAGCCCAAATGGACTAAATCAATTCCCAAGGATCTACTGTCTCCAGGTGGGGGCTGTGTGGGAGGGAGGGGTCCACCTCACGCCACCATGGCAGCTGCTGGTGGAGAGCCCCACGCCATCCCCAGCTCAGCTCTTTGCCTTTGTCTTTCCCCCTCCCTCTTCCCTCCTGGGTTCCCCCAGGGAGCCGGGTCCCACCCCCCCTCCAGGATGAACTTTCCTTCAGTGCTTTCATTTCAGTTCATCTATCCATTTAGCCCGACATCCCAGCCCTGCCCCAGGCCCAGTGGTGCCCACACCTCACCCGTCTTTGTGGGAGGATCCACCCTTCCTGGAAGGCTCTGGGGCTGGGAGTGGAGAGAAAACTGCAGACCTAACCCCAGGCAGGGAGGTGTCCACTCCCTGACACCTGGGGCGGGACTGGCCCGGCAGCCTCTGGGACGTGTATCACACTCTCTGCTGAAGAGCACATGCCTGCTTTCTTCTGGGAGGGGCAGCAGTCCTCTGGGCTTGCCCTTGGGACTGAGTAAGCGACATGGGGTTCTTAGGCCCACCCTGGACTCCTCTCTGTGCACAGCACATACTGTCCTCCTACAGGCCTGCTAAGTGCTTCTCAGGGGCAGCAGATCCTCATGGACGGCCACAGACTCCTCCCACCCTGACGTGCTCGCCCTGCAAAGCACGCACGACAATGTTGCTTGTCTTGTCAAGAGATGGAGTTGACTTCCCCTCCCCTTAAATCTGGGCCGGCCTGTGGTTGGCCTTTACCGCAGAATTCAGGGGAAGAACTTTTACATGGCTTCTGAGAGCAGCCTCAGGGCCTGGCAGCACTGTTTTCACTGCCTTGGAATGTCGCCTGACACCGCCTGCAAACCTGGCCTGGCCTGCCGGAGGACCAGAGAAGCCGCGAGTGGGCTGGAGCCCTGCCTGTCTTGCTCACAGGGACAGTCACCCCCTTCCTGTGAACACAGGGCTGTCAATTCTCTACCTGCACGTGAACGTTTCTCTTCCTCAAAAACAACAAGAGCAGCTTATGGGGATCCTGCTGGTCGGTTTGATTGAGAGCAGCGTATCCCAAGGAACGCCTGAGTCTGTGACTCCGTGCTGTAACCAGTGAGAAAGCCTTGGCCCCTGGACTGAGGCTGGACTGAGCAGCTGGGCCATGGTCCTCCTCCTTAGCCTGACACATGAAGGAAGCGGGGGTGAGACCCCTGCCCTCTCTGAGAGGACGCCCTTCCCTTTGATAAAGAGTGTCTCACCCAGGGGGAGTGGGCCTCCAGGTAGGAGGAGAGGGAGGCGCTAACCACAGAACCTGCCCAGCTGAAGTATTTCCATTGTCACCCACCCTCTGTGTCCCTGACTGGGCCTGACCCTGGTAGGCCCCCTGCTGTCTCCCCACCCCCTAGCCCGGGATAGAACCCGGTCTGAGGAGTCAGAGACTCACAGAGGGTTTCCCCTCAGGGCAAGTCCTTAGGTAGCTCCATCGGGGCCCAGAAAAGGCCTGTGGTTTAAGAGCCTCTGCATTAGGGTGGATTGAGCAACTGAGTTTCCAGTTGATTTCCAGGGGGAAGAGGGTATGGATTTGCAGCTCCTAGAACAGGTTTGCAGCGTTGCCGTGGACTGCTCCAGGAGGCAGCGGCAGGAAGTTATTGACGTGACCTCCCACCGGGGGACGAGAGACAATGAGTTTATGATAAATTCGTCTTCACAGGGTTTATCACTAGGCCCTTAGAGATGTGAGTGGATGCAGACATGCAGCTCTCCAAGTGCCACGGGGAAGAGGAGTGTGAGGTGTGAACCCTGGGAAATGAGCTCCATCCGCTGCCTCCCCTCCCGGGCTCACGGAAGACTGGCTCTGCCCTAAGCCCTCTGGCTCTGCAAAGGACTGAAGTCTGTGCAGAGGTCCCAGCAACTGCACAGCTCAGGTGATCTCCAGAGACCTGGGGCTGGCTGCTCAGCCTGCCCTCCTGCAGGCCCCAGCTGCCCCCCAGTCCCTGCAGTGCCTCCCCACAGAGGGGCCTGTCTGTCCCCCTGCAGGTTCCGACAACAAGGAAGGAAGGAAGGAACCACCTTCGCTGTGGGCTGGGAACAGACGGCCCCGGGTGTGAATCTGTGGGATTCTTCCACTTACTGGCTGTGGAGTTTCCTCGCCTGTGAAAGGGCAGATGAGGTTTCCCTCCGAGGACTGCCGCGGGGATTCAGTGAGATGAGTGTGTAGAGGGAGCCACAGCACTTGTCACGTGGTGGGTGGGACGTGGGGCCCGCACACAGATGGTCCGAGCTCAAGAGCTGACTCTGACAGCCATCACCTGTGTGACGCCTCAGTCTGCTCCTCTGTGAAGTGGGAATAAAGCTGTTGTGATTAAAAGGGACAGTGAAGGTCAAGTGCTCAGCACCGTGTTGGGGCTGTGGTCAGTCATCATAGGATGCCCTGCCTGCCCCCTTCTCTGGGGTGGCCAATATTACCTGGTCAGAAGCTGCGGGCCTGCCCTGCGCCAGTGGGGACAAGTGTGAGGGCTTATCCATGCTAATAAGCTGCGGAGATAAAATAAAGCCACGCCCGTAACTGGTGCCGTGGAGAGGACGTCAGAACACTGGAGTCTGATTCCTGGCCCGGCCATGAGGACTCAAGGAGGCCACTTCCCCTCTCGGAGCCTCGGGTTCCTCATCTGTAAAATGGGGAGATGATCAAGATCTCAGACATGATTGAGGGGTTTTTACATGCCAGGCGCTGTTCCACATGCTTTCCATGTCTAAACCTTATCACAACCCTACAAGGTAG